TCACTGCTCCAAATATTAGGAAATTTTATATTGATGATTAAAACAAAATATATTGATATGTTTTTAAAACATCGATAATTTAGGTACTAATTGTAGTTAATTTTTTTTTGGACAAACAGCTATTTTTAAATTATTGATTTTTGAATATACTAACTTTATCTTTAAAATTAAAAATATCGACTTTTAAACTTTTCAACTTTGAAAGCGGCAATTTTGGTTACTTTTTTAGAAAACGTAAACAAACTTAAAATCATTTCTGAAAAAAAAATAATGAAATTGTTACTCTAATAAAATAAAATAATCTTTTGGGTAGTTTAGTTTTTAAAATCACAAATGGGGAAAAGATCACTAAAATAAAAAATAAAAATAAAATTGGAACGTGTGCCTTTATTGTTGTTGTTTGTTATGCTCCATGGTACCTCAGTCTAGTAACGCTCAACATGCTGTATTTAATGATTTTAATACATTTTAATACATTTTAATACATTTAAGCAGCATATAAAAAATGAATATGGAAAAACCTAATCCTGTTTTAATCTTACCAAACAACAAGCTTTCAGACCTTGTTACTGCTAATAGTTGGCTTATATTTATACACCTAGGAATCGTAAATCAAGTCAAAGATTGGATTCATTCTCATCCCAACTTCTCGAAAACTGAATCATATAGTGTTTTTGAAAATTTTGTTTAAGGACTTAGTGTAACTAACGATTGCGCTGAAAGAAACATCGGAAAAAATTATTTTTTTAAATATTCTCATAAGGAAGAACAGCGTCAAAATATACTATTGAAAAAAAGAGAGAAAAAAAGTAACAAAGAAAGTCAAAACGAATTTATTAAAATTTAAAGCTCTCTATATGATTATATAAAATAAGATATATTTGTGAATAAAAGAATTATCTGTCAGCTAATGATAATAACGATATATATATATATATATATATATATATATATATATATATATATATATATATATATATATATATATATATATATATATATATATATATATATATATATATATGAATAAAAGAATTATACTGTCAGTAATTTAATTTCGATCTTTTTTAGCTAAAAAAAGGAAGATTTAGGAATTTTACAGTAAGCACTTAAAATGATCTGAGTACAATTTTTTAGTATTATTATTATCTCCTTTATATAGACAAGGAATTTTGGATGTACAAGAGAAGTTTAGAAAAAAAAGGTTTTTCTACACATTTTTGGGACAACCTACTGATCATTGGTCCCAAAGAAAACTTTTCCTTTGTGGAAATGGCAGACAGAACGGAAACAGTTATGGTGAGCTATGGGGCAACAACAGTTCGTTTAGAATATAAATCAACAAATATATAAAACACTGCCATTAGATCGGTTTAGAATGCAAGCATTATTGACTTCTTTGGGGTGGAACTATTTTAATTTAGCAACCTCAGAAGCTATGTATATAAACAATAACACAGAGGTTTTCAAGAAATGGGCAAGCGATTTAAATCTATGTATTAGGAAAATTAAAATGTTTCTAGAAGATTTTGATACTATGGTGTACAGAAAGTATTTACGAAAAAGCTACGATCATTTAGATGGAATAGCACCTAAAAACGAATATTTTAGCTATGTATATAACAATGTCACAGTGGTTTTCAAGAAATGGGCAAGCGATTTAAATCTATATATTAGGGAAATTAAAATGTTTCTAGAAGATTTTGATACTATGGTTTATAGAAAATATCTTCGAAAAAGTTGCAATGATTTAGATGGAATAGCACCTAAAAACGAATATTTTAGTGAACGCAATTCTTCGTAAATGCACGCTTTTTTCGCTGCTGAAAAAAAAAGTTTTTCAAATTTATCTTAACAAAATTGCTTCTTATTTTTAATATCAAATATATAATATACTATGGATATAACAAACAAAAACTACGATCAAATAATTTTAAAAATGTTGGATGAACAGAAAAACATTATTTTAAAGGAGACTGAAAGATTTGTGATAAATAATAAATTTTGCGAAGATTACAAAACGCAAATATGAAAATTATAACTGACAGACTTGATAAACTAAATTACGACTCAACCACCAAATATACAAATTGAAAAAGATCTAGAAGGGTTAAAAGATCTTGAAGGGTTAAAAGAAAGTTTAAACTTTCAAGAAGAGATGATGAACGAAAAGATAGCAGAAATAAACAAAAGAACAGAAAACGACTTAAAATATCACAACGAACAGAAAGGTTTTGAACTAATCAAGAATGAAAGTATTATTAAAAGTATAAATGTGAAATTGATTGACCTTGAAAACCAATCGCAATGGAAAAATTTGAGCCATAAATGTGTAAACGAGTTACCCTGTGAACAAGGTGACCATTGTCCCGGTTTTAACGTAGGTGAACACAGCGCTAAACTAATTAAATTTAATTAAGCGCTGAGCTCTCCAACGTAAAAACCGGGACAATGGTCACCCTACCGGTTAAACTTTAATTGTGAAAGAATAGCCAAATTTTCTCAAAGAAAATAAAACCAGCGAAATAATTATTGAACGAGTTCATAGATCAGGCCCCAAAAAAAGTAGGAAATCAACGAACGATTTTTATAAAATTATTTAACTACAGCAACAACAACAAAAATATTTTTTTAGCTGTAAAAACCTACGTGGGTATTTTTATCAACGGGTATTTTTATCAATCAGTTTTAAAAAAAAAAATTTTGAAACTGATTTTTTTGACAACTTTCCTATATTCTCAACATTTATCTGCAAGCCCTAAACAAAAATTAAATCAAGCCTAACATTTAGAAAACGTTCTTTTAACCATACCAATGATCACCAGTTTAAAATTATCACTGCTTCGATAATTTCTGAAAATATTGAAATTTTGTATAAGAGATTATTTAAATAAAAAGAGTTTGTCTCAACTTTATTACTCGTTTATCCATACCTATTTAATTTATGCAAATATTGCCTAGGGGAGTATTAATAAAAATAGATTCTGACGGTTACAAAGACGTTTTTGCAACCGCCAGTTTTTGCACGCAATTCTAATTATCAATTTTGCAAATCGTTTTACTCATTCGAAGCCTTTATTCAACGAAATGAGATTACTTAATGTATATGAATTAAATGTATTCAATATTTTATGTTATGAATATATGTGGAAAAATAATTTAGTTCCCAACGTTTTTAAAAATAACTTTACTTTAAAACCTGTTAATAAATACACCCTATAAGGTAATGATTTGCTAAACCAAATTTTTTGTCGAACCAAATTTATTTTGTATTCATTATCTTGCACCATGTCTTTCGAATAAAGTTTTTTGCAAAATATTGGTTTGGCTTCTTCTTACCCTATTTTTAAAGCTAAACTTAAAAGCTTTATTCTTTCCATGGACAACGTACTTATATGGACTACTAATATTAAAATTCTGCAACTGATAACTTTCTATTTTTACTAAGCAAATTATTTATTGATATCACTTTGTTTATATATTTTTATGTATTAGTATATACTTTATAAAGTTTATTTTCTTTTATCATTGTAAGAATATTATTCATTTATTTTTTTTGTTATTGTAAGAAGTTTATTTAAGCATTAAAAAAAATTGCTCATTTAAGGTTCTGATGACAAGATCTTCGTGATCTTTTTTTAATTACCTTGGCTACATAGTTTATCATCGTAAATTTTTTAAAAGGTACTTGTATTTTTTATTATTATCACTATAAAATTGTACAACGACAAACTAATGTAAAAAAAAAACAAAAACACAGGATGTTTCTTTGAAGCTCCTATGAAGATGGAATAAAAGGAATTATTGCTTCTACAAATCCGGAAGATTCTCTGTTTTTGTTGAAGGAATTAAGAACACTAATTATTGAAAAATTAAATTCAAAGTTTTCGTATTACTAGGTACTCTAATGTTCCATACATTAGTGCAGTTTTTACATGTTTACAACACAACGACCATACACAAAAACAGTTCTTGTAAATTACAAAAAAAAAAATTATATTTTGAATATAAATTTCTAATAAATAATAATTTTTGAAATTTATGTCTAATAATAAAGTAACAATATAAACTTTTATTTTTGTGTAAAAAAGAAGTCTTACTTTCTTAAATGCTTCTCAATAAAACAATTATTCAAAAATATCGTGAGTATTGTATGATTCAGGAAGTAAACAATTTACATCCCAGTGTGCATGCGTCCTCCTATGGGTACGCGGACGTCTTACGGACGACCTACGGACGATGATTACCCACTGGGATAGTATTGTTGAAAGAAATATTGAAGTAGCGTACAGTTCCACTTATCAAAATATTTATACCCCAGTGGGAAAAAAGATATCTTTAGACGAATATATATATATATATATATATATATATATATATATATATATATATATATATATATATATATATATATATATATATATATATATATATATATATATATATACAATTAGAAAGAGTTTTTTATCATACTTTGTATAAAGAGCTATTATCATTTTCATTTGATTAAAACAGCATTTGATATATGAAAAAAAACACTTTTTTAGAAGTGCATACTTGAATACCCCGTACCCCGAAAAAAAAAAAGACGTCTTAAAGACGCATTTTAACAAGATTAAGATAAAAAAAGACGTCTTTTCGATGTTGAAAAAAGATGTCTTTTAGATTTGCATAGTCGATTAAAAAAAACCGTCTCAAAGACATCGTAAATAAGACTTTTTAAGACGTCTTTTCGACGTCTTTTTTCCCACTGGGACTTATCAAAAGAGTATAATCAAGTTGATTCAAATTAAAGTAGGACAGATGAAAGGTTTATAATATTCTGCAAAAAATATTCATCGCTAAACATATTCTTTATGCTGATGTCAATGTACTTATAACTTTATTTTAGTATTTCCGGATGGTGTACTTTTTTTTTTACTAAGGAAATACATACTTTTCAAACCAACCAATCGAGACTAAGTTTACGTTTTGTTCTTCTACTTTATAGCTTATATTGCTTTGAAGGATCTAAGTTTTAATTTTGCGGCTTTCTACAATGAGTGTCTTATTTGGTATGGTTATTTTTATTAATCTATTTTATTATTTATTTGGTATAGATTTTTTTTTAAGTGTTTTTTCCATTTTTTTTAAAAAAATATTAACTTATAATAAACTTTTTATTACTTGACGATTGCTTTTTTTTTTAATTCGTAATTGCTTAGGTATTTGTTAGGGATATTGGTACCGAAGTCTTAAACCGCATGGCTTAATCCTTTTTAATCCTTAACATCTAAGAGACATTTTAAAATTGAATACATGTGTTCATATAACCACATAACAACCACCTTATTAAAATTAATAATTCCTGTCAAAATAATTACATTTAATTTATTTCTTACAAAATATATCGTCGGTTTACAAGGGAAATGTACTCCATTTCTGTCCATTTTTGGCAGTATGGAGTTATACCCCATTTAGTTATTTAGTATTTTAAATTTTCTATTCTTGTATCTTAACACACAAGTTTAATAAATCAATTATTAATGAGTTATTAAGATATTTTTGTTTTAACTATTACACAAAAACTTATTATTTTAACTATTACGCGAAAACTTATTTGTTCATTATCTCAAAATAATGTTTTTGGATTTTGTCATGCAATTCCCTTGTATACTGATGATGTATTACTTACATAAAGCTTTTAAAATAATAAATGACTTCTTATTTACTGCTTTTAAAGTAATAAATGACTTATTTCTAATCTTCGATCTCAAAATAAATTCATAATTAGAGATTAGTTTAAATTTCTATATTCTAATAACAAAGATTCTTTTATTAGACAAATATTTTTTAACAATGTTTACTTTTTTTGTTCAAGGCATAGTTTTAATTGCTATGTTTACTGCTAAAAGTGGATTGGAAGTTAATTCATGTAAGTTATTTGCTTTTTTGTTTTTTAACAGTTTTTTAACCTATTATCATATTAGGAATAATTTGATAATAAGATAGTAAAATCGTTAAAAGTAATTAAATTACAACTTTACTAATTTCAATTTTTAAAAAACCTGAGTTTAACCTGTATTTATTTATACAAAAGCAAAACTTTAAGTCGAAGACTTGATCACAACCTTCAATGAGCATTATTATTGATAATCATTATTATTGATAATAAAAGGTCTTTAAAGGAGTTTATATTTAAACTATTTTAGCAAATCAGTTTGGACAAAGTGATATCTAATATGTGACGATGAAACATTAACAATTAAAATAAACAATAAATAGCATAAAGTTATATAATTTGATTAAATTAAAAACAATATTAATAAATTAAAAAATATTGATAAAAATTAAAATTTTTATCAATATTTTTATAATCTCTATAATCAGTTTCTGGTAATTCGATAACCAAAATCGGTGTCTGGCTAACTAAGTCTAAGTATGTTGAAACCTTGGCTAACTAATTACATTTTTTATTAAATGTAATCCAATCTAAATAATAATTTTTATAATAAATATTTCACTTCATTAATTTTTGTAGCATAAACAGTATAACTTTAGACGATCATTAGCCAGTTTCTAACATAGCTATCTATTTTATCCTAATATCAAAAAGATATAAATTTCACTTTATAATATAATACATCATCCATACAATAAAAATACACCATCTGCAAAAAAGCAAATCCAATATCAAATTTTGCATAAAACCACATTAAAAACCTGAAGTAAAAATCTAGTGTTGTAAAGCTTTAATTATCACTTTTATTTTCATCAAATAATTATTGCTAGGGTGGTTCTAAAAGGGTTTTAAATCAAGGTTTAAAAAAAATATAGAATATTGATTTTTTTTATTTTTATTTAGGGGTAAAGAAAGAATTAAAAAGGTTTTTTAGTTTTATTTTTTCAAAAAATTTATATTTGTTCTGTAAGGTAATGATGAAAAATGCTTCTGCAAAATGGTTCACCTTGTAAAACAAAAATTTCATGAGTTTGGACTGCAAAATCATGCAGAAAATCCTAAACTGACGCTTATTAGCTAGATTTGTCGTTGAACCTCTTCTATTAAACTCTTATAAAGCAATCAATGAAATTTAATAAGTTCTTTTAATCTTGTTGACTTAAAAATTTAAGGTAAATCAAACCAAAATTAAATATAGATGTTCTCAATGCTTTTCAGAAGAAGCCTTTCACACAACTGCTTTATGTCTGCCCTGCAAAATTTAGCAGAAGTCTTGTAAAAAAAATTCTGTACCAGATTTGAAGTGCCAGTCATTGCAAAAAAGGACTTCATTTTCATTTTAATTCCCAGGCGATCACCCTGATGCGCCACAGAATTCAATAGCAAAAAACTTGATTAAGAACATTTAAATTGTTTTACTAGAATGTGTATGTTCATAAAAATCAGAAGAATAAAACTAAAAAATTATACTTAATTATGTTAGAATTTATTTGCTTTTAAATTTACTATTAGACATTACTGGTTTAGTGTTAGGCATTACTGGTTTTGTGTTAAGCATTACTAGATTTATTAAGACAACTAAAAAAATATTTTAAATATGCTTATTTACTTATTTGGTACAATTTCATGCAAGATTTGATTTATTTTTTTATTTATTTATTTTTTTTCATTTCTATTCTATAACATATATTTATTTAGCACTATCTTGCAATTATCATGCATTGGTTGAAAGTAATAAAATTTTAAGTTTTGCTACATTTTATATATTTTTCAGGGTTTTTAGATGCACTTTTATGCAGAGTTTGATTATAGATTATCTACCAAGGGACCAAATAGGATTTTTATACAAGACTATTAATCTTAGTACTATAATGCCACCTAAAGACTATTAATCTTAGTACTATAATGCCACCTAAAGACTATTAATCTTAGTACTATAATGCCACCTAAAGACTATTAATCTTAGTACTATAATGCCGCCTAAAGACTATTAATCTTAGTACTATAAGAAGCCACATAAAGATTTCTGTCATAATGATTATGATCCACTAGCATTAAATGAAATTTTTTTAAGGAAAGTTTAAAAACAATATGTTTTAAAATTAAAATATTTAAATTTTTTGTGTTTTGTAATTATGTTATTAATGATTATCTGTTTAATAAACGGTCTTGGCTTTAAGCAAACAAATAAAATACTAAGTTTAATAAAAAAAACATTAAACATTTTATTGCCTTTATAAAACCTTTTTTTTTTAATAGACAAATAGGCTATCATTTAATAGCAATATGCTTTTTGTTCATCATTAAAATATATTTCTATTAAATAAATTATAAATTCACATTATGAGTAAATATTATGACTTGTTTAATATTATTAATATAATAATTTTTTTAAATAATAATTATTCAAGTAAAGTTAGATAAAACAGTGTTCACAATCAATATAAACTACAAATTCATTTTTTAACACTTAAGTAAATCTTAACTCTTCTAAACAATATCTACAGTAAGCTAAAAAAAATTATAAAATTTTCAATTAACATAAGTATAAACATTTAAATGTTTAGAGATTGCTCCTTGTCTGGAAGTAAGCCATTTTAAACACCAAAAAAAGGTTGCAATTGCCCTTAGTATTAATCAAGTCAAAGAAGCGTGCAATTTTCTGTTTTGTTTATCCAAAAAAGTTTTTTATTCAGACAACTTGGTCACAGCTATTTTAAATTTTGTGCTTCAATACCGCGGATCTTTTTTTTTTATATAACTTAGTTTTTTTAAACCTGTAAGGTTTAGGTAAGGGGGGGGGGGGTAATATGGATAGAATTTTAGAATATTTTTTTTTATGTATAAATTTATTTTTTAGGTAATAACCACCATAAAAACATTTGTTATTTTTCTTTACATTCAGGGTGTATACAATAAAATATTTTCAATAACTAACTTAATAATTCTTTTTTAACAACAAATTTTATAAATCCATATTACTAGTTGTTTACTGTTTACTGTTGTTTGAAATGAAAAAGTTTCATTTAAAACTCATCTAGTTTAATCGCTTTGAAAATTTTGTTATGAAAAAATAAGCGGAGGAGAAACTCATATTAATGTTATTTAAAAATGCTAAGCGTTTCATATTTTAATCCAATCAAAACATGCGTTTTACATTTAATCCAATAACAACATATTTTATATTTCATCAACGTGAATTCCAATTAAGCATTTCGGTTGGCTTAAAATACATTTATAATGTATTTTAAATGCGACTTTTAAAATACATTTATAATGTATATCAAAAGTTGTTTTTCAAACGTTGATATTTATGTAATTGTAACAAATGCTAATATAAAACTGTTTTAAATTGAGTTTGGGCTGAAATTTAGAGGCCCATACCGGTATACCAGTATCAAAATCAGCCTGGATACGTCGCTGGTAAAGCATTTAAAATTGATGTCTTTAAATACTCACAAGCAGTAGTGCAGCATGTTATAATGAGCTCGAAGAAGTTTGTGTGCTTGAACTTCTATGCTTTTGTATAGTTGAAGGAATTTCTGGAATTGTGGTGGCTGGTATAGGCAGTGTTGGTAAGGCTTGAGTACTTTGCGCAAAAATCAATCCAATAGCTAACTTTTCATTAGTCATTTATTCCCGACACAAAGGAAAAATACCTGTTGCTTTGAAGCCCGAAAGCACATTATTGCTTAAGAAGCTTTGGTCAATAAGCTGTTTGAGCGACCCAGGATATCTAGGTTTTGTGAGATTTTTAAAACCGTTTTGAATGAAATGTTTATTTAGGATTCCGTGCCATTTACTTTTCACCATCCTAAATACGCCCACATCAATTTGCTGTAGCACGTGAGATGTATGAGGCGGTAGCTTAAAAATAATGTTCTCTTTTACTATATGAATTAGTTCCAGCGTTACATGTGAGGCATGGCCATCTAGAAAAAGGAGTTTAGGTCCTTCAAGCCTGCGACAATATGGGACAAATGTCTTTTCTAACCATCCAGCAAAAGCAGGTCCTTCAATTCAACCAGATTGTGTGACACGATAGGTAGCACTGTTAGGCCCGACCTGAGTTATAAGCTATTTGGACATCAATCTAAAATTTCAAATAATTAAATAACTATTTAATTACATTTTAATAACTAGTTATTAAAATGCAGAGTTTTCCGGATTATTGGCACATCTGTTTTTAAATCCCTCTTAAAATACATACCCAAATTCATTATAAATACCTTTAGCCTTGAAATGAAACATGAACAGGCAAGAATGTTCTGAAAGCATCACAACAAACGAGTATTGTGACTGAAGCCTTTTCATTGCTACTGCAAAGTTTCTTAGGCCCTTTAGAACCTTTCCAACACAACCTTAAATTTGCCTTGATCACATTGAAGACCAGATTCATTGCAATTAAAAATGTGGAACAGCTTTGTTGCGACTCCATGTATATTGTACATATCAGACAGGTGCAAACCTTGATTTAAGTAGGTTATTAAAATGCTATAAATTGAGCTGTTTATAAAAAAAGGACAATTTGTAAACATTACAATCAAATTGAAATTTACCTTTTAAAAATTGCACTTTTTTTTATTAAATAACAATTAATTATGAAATATATTTACATATAAACATATAATTTTAATAAACACCATTATTCAATAGTGCCTGGCTGAGTAGACATTGCACGGTTTGACGGCATATTTTTTGAAGTTGTGAGTCATACCTCTTCACAATGAATATATCAGGCAAGTGTAACTTCGCAGCCGTCAAAACACATTTGATTTGAATTAACCAAACAGTTGTTAACAGTATTTCAAGTTTAGTCAAACTAAAACCAATATCACTTATTAATATTAAAATTTTTACTAAAATGTTGTTGATGTTTTCGCTCGGTTTGCCATTTTTTTTAGAATGTTTGCCGTTACCTCTGTCGATGAAAGTTGATCTTTTAAAGCCAAATGTTATAGTTGCTTTCCTTTTACTCATACCTTTATCCACAGCCTTCAAACCACGAGCCATCCAAGCTTTCTGGCGTAAATCCATAGATAACATAGATGTATTAACTTGACAAAAAAACTATTTTAATGTATTGCAATATATATTATTGTTTTGTAATTACTTCATATTCAGTGATTTTAATTTACCATTATTTTTTGAAATCTACCTGCAAATTGACCAGTAAATTTTGTTTTAAAACAGGGTAATTTTAAAAATATAAACAAATTCTTTATTTAAATAAAATACCATGGTGAGTATCCATTATAAAAAATGTCAAAACTTACTAGTATTTTTACTTATTGGTAAATTTACAGGTAAAGTTACCTGTAAATTTACGCAATTGCAACACAAGTTCATTTCACTAAGTCACATTAACACACACTAACATTTTACAATCTTTGTGCTTTGTTTCCTTCGTTGTTTTTTCATGAATAACCGAATTAGAGTATTTCAAAATTTTACTATTTTTATTAAAAATTAATAATTTTTTTTTTTTTTTTTTTTTTTTTTGTAAATATATTTAGTTTGGTGATTTTTAATAATGCTAAGATTAAATATGATCATTTATTTTAGTTTGCTTATTTTAGACTTTTATAGATGCATTTTTTCAAGTTGTTGTTTTGCTAAAGAATTATTTCAGCAGGTTGCATATAATTTTTTTTTTTTTATAGATTCATATTTACGAACTAATTACAAACATTTGAGAAAAAAAAGTTTGTAAGATTTGAGTTTTGCATGCTTTTTTTATATTTTTTCTTAAATGACCGAAGTTACATAGTGACCGAACTTAGGTGGTTTTACGGTGTTTAACATGGAAATAAGGAATCAAATGCGAACAGACAATTTGACCTAATTCAATGAATTGACGGTCTTGTTTTTTTTGCCTTCAAAATTTTTCTTTTTTTTCTTTGTTTAATTATTTAAATTTTTTTCTTTGTGTAAATCCTATTAATCTTCTTGACTTAACTTTAAAAATACAAAAACAAATAAACTTAAATAAAAAATTAGTAACTTGCTTGAAGGTTAACGAATTCATATAATTTTGATAATAACAATTTTAAATAAAATCAATGCTTTTTTTAAAAGTACAAACAGGCAATTGATAATTTTTAATTTATTTTGAAATAATTTATAAATTATATTAATAACTTTGCAAATGGTGGGAAAAGCTATGAGAAAAAAAGGACAGTTGATATTAATTACATACAATAATTTAGACTAATAATGAAATAAGAAATTCATTCTCTGAAGTTAAAAAAAAAAACCAGCGCACATTTTATTTCATTAAAATTATTTAAAAAACAGCTAATGTTATTTAGTTAATAATGCTTTAAACTCTTTTGCGGATACAGTTTAAACAGAATATTAAATGCTAAGAAAATGGTTGCTCAATGAAACACTACTATAAAAGTTACTAATGTTACATAAACAAGATTTTAACTGAATATATATATATATATATATATATATATATATATATATATATATATATATATATATATATATATATATATATATATTTAATAACCCTATAAATAAAACCTACAGATTTAGTAGTTTTTATTTTATCTATAAATCATTGGTTCATTCATTTGCAATTTTAGGCAAGAGTTAAGTAAAATAAATAAAAAACTTATTTTAAAAGTAAAACAAATTGACTAATTAATGATGAATGAAAAATTGTTCAGAGTTTCATACATAATTTATTATTAAAATAATATTCAAAGTTCAAATGATTTTTTGAAAATTTAGCATATGCATTTTCCGAATATCTTGAATACTTGTCGAAATTTGTTTTTAAATTTTTGATTTTTTTCAACCGGTCAACAATGATTGACTGTTATTTTCTACACTAAATACATATATATATATATATATATATATATATATATTATATATATATATATATATACACACACACACACACACACACACCTGTAAATATATAAATAATATGTATGTTGATTTCAATAAAAAGGCAGCATATAATTAATTTAGAATATATTTTGTAATAATAATATATTAACGATATTTTGCTGACCTATTGTGTTCACTCTGATTAAAATAGTTCAGTTAAATATCTTTAATTTTAACTAAGTATTTCTTTATATATATATATATATATATATATATATATATATATATATATATATATATATATATATATATATATATATATATATATATATATATATAAAGAAATACTTAAAAGACATATAATTCAATATAGGGTTTAACAATTTAAATGGCTGTTATTCATATCATGAATGAACTAATGTATGTGTATGTGTATATATTTTAATGTGTGTGTGTGCGTGTGTGTATATATCTTTATAAGTCATATTTTTGTACTTTATAACTTCATGTATATATATTGTGTTTTGTTTTTCTTTTGCAGCTAGTAGTATTATTGACTTTTCAATATTGATCAACTTGTATGATGGTATAAAACCTGTTCATATATCAGGTTTTATGCATTATTTGGCAATCAAACATTTACTCGATGAAGTCAATCAATCAAATGAAACGTCAAAGTTATTTTTGTTTAATCAAACTGCCATTATTAAGAAAGTTATTTTATTACAGCCACCCACACAATCAAAAGACATAGTAAATGGAATTTGGCCTGACAAAGAATCTTTATTTATACCTGCTAATGTTTTATTATCAGCAATATCATCAGATGTAATAGAAAAAACGCAGTTGTTTTTTTACGCACATAAAAAGCCAATTATAAATTTGAATCCAAGAACATATGGTTTTAAACCAAATGTTCCTATGATTAAAGAAAGTAGACTTCTAAGTTCAGGGTATGACTACCATCGCCTTCATGTTGTGCTGGATCTCTTAAATTTCTTACATTTTCATTATTTATCAGTATTATCATCTACTGAAGTGCAAACTTTACACATCTCAAAAGTTTTTAAAAGGTCTTTTAAAGGTTGTATTAATGCCTTATTTATAATTGGCTCAAACTATTTGGAAAACTTTGAAAAAATATCGCAACATCTATCTTATTTAAATTCGACAAATGTTGGGCTGCTTGTATTATTCACCTCTGATAAAGATTCACAAATGGTTCTGGAATCACTTAAAATTTTAAAACTTGGAAAGCGATTTACACTTTTATTTGTTTTTGGAGGTACACATATTGATGTGATTCGAGGATTAGAAGAAATTGCTCATGGTGCATTAACTATAGACCATTTTAATGAAGAAAATTTACATTTTAAGAACTATGTTCTCCAACAGAATCCCTACAATAATTTAAATGATGAACATTTTTTAATGTATTATGAAGATGTTTATCAGTGTAACTTAAAGATTTATATTCCCTCCCCTAAAAGACAATCATTTCGTAATCAATGCATAGAACCTTATTTAAACTTAAGCAGTAACCATGGATACTACTATTCACCTATTTCTAAAATTGCTATTAATGCATTAAAAGATTTTTTCGAAACTCTTCATGAAGTCATGGTTGGTAATGGGTGTGTTGTAAATTCTACAGATTGTCCAAATTTTTTTGACTTTAATAAATCATTATCAGAAAATAAAAATTATGATATTTTGCTTAAAGCTTTAAAAATAAAATATCAATATGATCTGAATAGTTTAAACACAACATATGCAATATACAATTTTCAAATATACAATACAACAACCTTCAATAAAATAATTGGTTTATGGGAACATCAAAAGTTAAAGATTTATGATGCATTTCAATTTGGTTATCAAACTCCTAATAAAGTTTGTAGTTTACCATGTCCACCTGGATATTTTAAAAAATTTAAAGGGTTTTTAAACCATCCACGTTGCTGTTGGGATTGCATTGAATGCCCTTTAAAACATATTGTGGTTAATGAAACATGTTTAAAGTGTGCACCAAACAAGAGAGCTAATTTAACTACCAATCAATGTGATACAATACCGTTTAAATATTTTTCTTTTGAAAAAAGTAGTTGGAAAGAAATTAGTATTTCTATCCTTTCTTTCACAGGAATGGTCTTTGTGATCTGTGAATTTGTTGTTAGTATAAAGTTTAGAGGACACGACGTTGTTAAGTCAGCTGGTTTTGAATTTTCTTTGACAATACTTTGTGGCAATTTGTTACTGTTTATCTGTCCCTTTGTTTATTTTGCAACACCAAATGCCTTAGTTTGCGCTTCACGAAATATTGTGCCATCTTTAGCTTGTGTAATTATTTACAGTGCTTTATTACTTAAAGTCATAAGAGTGTTTCGTATATTTACTTCATCAAAAATGCCTACACCACTCAAATTTATAAGAAGAGATTCCCAACTCATGGCAGTGGCTTTCTGTTCTGCACTTCAACTAATATATACATGCCTTTGGTTTTTTGAAAGTCCACCAGTTTCTGAACATATAGTTTCAGCTGATGAAACTCATATTAATATTGTTTGTCGCAATAGTCAAACTATATCTACAATTTTAAAAAACAATATTTGTTTGTATATCATTCAGATGTTATGCAATGCAGTAGCCTTTTCTTGCAGAGGTTTTCCTCAAAAATATCACGAAAGTTTTTATATCAATATTATATCACATGCTTCTATTGTTCTGTGGGCTATTTTCTATACTGGATTAGGATTTTTAATAATCAATGTGGAGTATTTAATCTGTTATCTGTGTATTTTTTTGGGATATATAACATTTTTGGGTTTGTCTATCAATAAAATAAAATGTGTTATTCAATATTTTAAATGAACTATTTTTTCGTTTTTATCATTGGCTTACTTGCTTTTAATATATCTTGTTTTCTTTTGTAAAAAAAAAAGCATAATATTAACTCAAGAGGAACAACAAGCAAGGCTTCTGAAATTTTTAAAAAACTTTCATTTGAAATTCTGATTTTTACGATAGTTTGTGAAATTCTGTAAAAATTTTAAAGGTTTTGTTGAGTGTATATTGTAAATTTTTTAAGTAAAGATTTTGACGAGTTTTTAAGTTGTAAATAGTTGTTCTTGGAGTTTTATTTTATTACATATTTTTTGTTCAACAACTGTAAATATTTATATAAGCTGATGAAATATTTTTAGAGTACGCCTAGTACATAGTAAACGTCATCAGGATTACACGTTCTATTTGAGGCAGGCACGATATTATTTTTAATATTTTTGTTTCATCTATTCTGCCACATTAACAACTCTTAAATTTTATGTTGCTATTTAGTCAGATTATTTGGATTTGTGTTTTTTTTTTTAAACATGATAGAAATTTTTAAGAATTTTATTTTCATGTTTGAGTATAATCTAAAATATGTTCAAGTGTTGTTTTGTTTGATAATATATTTTTCAGATTTTACTTGATTTTTTTTTTAAACTAATTACATATGTAATGTATAAAATGTGTTCAAGGTGTTTTTGACCGTTATCCTGTGTTTAATTCGTTTATTTATTATAAAAAAATTTTTTAAATAAAACTTTATCGTCATAAGAAACGTTTAAAATCGCTTCAATAAACTTTTGGTGTTAAAAGCGCTTATTTTAAAAATCCATCACTTCGTTTGTTTATCTACAAAGAAATTATGTAAAAGTGCGGAAAATGTTTGTATCTTTAAATTAGTTTCTGTTTAAGCGTAATATATTTCAAAAAGTTAAAATATTAAAAACTTTCAAATAACGATTAAAACTAATGTTAAAGTGAAAAATTTTAATATTAATTGTTGTCGATAACATTCTTAAAAGGAAATCCATGCAGATGCAAAATACTTATAATAGCCTGTTTTCATCCGGAGAAAAAACCTTAAAAGATTTCATGAAAAAAATTTAAAATTTCCATATAATAATTTTAAATCATAATACATTGCGATAGTTTAAACACCATAGTAGTTTTACTTGTTTAAAAGATTTCTTTTTAAGAATGTGTAAATTGATCGACTTTATTTTTAACAAATAGCAAAATAGTTTTTAAAACAAATAATTTTATCATACCGAACGATTCTCATCTTTTTTTTACTGATATTTTCGATTCGACTCTTCTTTGCAAACAGAAATATAAGTTCCATTTTTAGTTCCACTTTTAGTCGATTTAATTCCTTATAATACAGATATAATACTTTACAAAGTGCTTGAAAACTATTGTCTGAGGTTCTGTGCGATGGGCAAGTTCGATTTTAACGCTTTTTATGTCGAAAAAATATTTAGTTTGCGCCAAGTTTTTGTCGAAAAAATAAAGTTTTTTACGCCAAGTATTTGCCGAAAAAATTAAATTTTTCTTCAGCCCCCATTTTTCATTTTTTATCTTCATTTGAGCTTATTCATCATCTATTTGTACTCAAATGATCTTTCGGTGTTTTTCTTTTAAAGTTTCATTTTTAACTCTCTCCTACGTGTTTATTACATTATTTAATTTTTTATCTACGTTTTCGTTGAAATTTTAGCTTTCGCTAATTTTTCTTGGTTTTAACAGCATTCTCAACAGCGTTTACCTCATGTTTGTTTAATCTTTCTAATGATTTACACTGATAATAATAAATGTTCGTGTATTTTTAAACGTTACTTCGGTTTATTTTGAATATATTTCAATTAACATAACTTCAAACTTGTTCTTTAATTCATGTATCACAACTATATTGCTATACATATCTTTATTTCATGAGTCGCTGCTATATTGATTTATAAAGAAGATTTATTTTTAAACTCTTTTCTTAAGTTTGAAAGCTTTAAAAAAATCATTGTTTGTGCAGTTGTTGATATATTGTTGTTTGTATCAAGTGATGTAATTTGATATAGAATTAATCTCTGATAGGATTTTACAATTCATTAAAAGTCGAAAACTTTAAGCAAAAAATGTAACAAATTTATTTCAAAAATAAAAGAATTTAGAACGACGTTTCAAGCGCGCAACGTTCACAATTACTCAGTTCAACGTACTTAATGCACGTTCTCCTTCTTTTTTTTTTTTTTTTGTCTTGCTTAATCTCTGTGATAACAAACATTCTAATTTTCCGTTCGAATATTATGAAATCCGGAATACACGGACGTTTCACGCATTATGCCACAAAAATTAAGTATTTTTTATTTACTTTATTTTAAAAATAAAGTATTTTTTTATTTGCTTTATTTTACAAAAACAAAGTATTTTTTGGCGTTATGCCAAATAAAAGTTTAATCCACCAATTTTAAAAAAATAGTAATTTTTTTCTATGAACGTTTAATTTTCAAATTAAAAAAAATATAGCAGATCTATCTTTCGTCGTTAAATAAATATTTACATTAAGTGGTATAAAAAATATATGTTGTTATGATTCAATAATTTAGAAGTGTTGTGAATGACGTCTTCCACGCTTAAGTGTCATGAATGACGTCTTCCACGCCTAATAAATATTCAACAATTAATGGGGTATGTGTTCAATAAATCTAGTCTTAAGAATGATACAACTTTTTAAAATATCTAAAAAATTAGACGGACATTTTGGTCGAACGTCTTTACAAATATATTTTTTAAACTTGATTTTCTCGGAAACACAAAAAATGGACATACGGCCTTTTCTCCGCTGACGAATTAGCGGTTGTCTTTGAATATTCATTTTAATGAACTTATAATGAAGTCTTTTAGTAGGTTCGGGAAATTACACTACCTGCTTTACGGGTATTAATACATATTGTGGTTGCAAATTGTATGTATATTACGGTTGATATTTGTAACTAGTATTCGCAGTAATATATCGCAGATAATAAAATAACAATATACAAACGAGTGAAATCATTAGTATCTAAGGAAAACTTATAAGAATTCCCCATACCAGGACAATAAAGAATTCTATGAATAAGCAAAAATGGAACCCGAGAAAGTTTACGAAAGAGACATTAAATGCAAAGTTAATAAAGTTATTAACAAATTTTGAAATGGTGAAAGACAACCTGACCAGGAAAGACGACGGCAAAAATATTCCTCTATCAAAGGAATGGCTCTCAAAACAAGTAATAGAAGTTGAAGATCAAATGTAAACAGTTTCAAAAACAAGAGCAAATATACATTTTGGAAGATTTTAAGGGTGTCGTTTTTTAATAAAGAGGTTCATTCACAATTGTCAATTTTACTAAAAAAAGAAAAAAAATTTACTAGTATAATTAGTGCAAATTTAAAAATACTCACTAATCGATTAGATAAAATTAAAAAAGAAGTAGACACTAACAAATTAAAAGTCTTGAGCATAGAAAACGATTTTTAAAGAAAGTCTTAACTTTCAAGAGAAGCATCGCGGAAAAATTAAATCAGATCACGAAGCGTTAAGAAAAAGAAATACACAATTTAAATAAAAAGTCATTAGATTTAGAGAACCGGTCTCGAAGAAATAATTTAAGAATAGACGGAATATATGAAAAACCAAATAAAAATTGGGCCGAGTGCGAAAATGTAGTAAAGGAAATGTTCAAAAAACAACTTAAAATTAACAACGATATTATGATAGAAAGAGCTCATAGAGTAGACCAACCTAAAGAGGACAAGAAACCAAGAACTATTGTCCTTATGTTATTAAATTTTCATGACAAAACAAAAATACTCAACGCTACAAAATATTTGCAAGGAAAAGGGATATAGATGTTAATTACTTTTATGATACGAAAATTAAATGTTCTAAATGAGTTGAAAGAAATTCTATTTAAGAATGTTATTAAGGAAAGCGACGATCAAACTAGAATTCTATACATAAATATCAGAAGCATTAATTGTAATTTTGAAAAGTTCCAAAATTTACTCGAGGAAACTAAATACTTTTTTAATATTATTTGCTTAACTGAAACTTGGCTACCTCAAACGACATTAATAAAAATTCTAATTTTAATCTTTTTCATTTTGAAATGATTTCTCTTAAAAGGCAAATAAATAAGCGCGGTGGTGGAGTTCTAATTTATGTTCATGAAAATATTAAGGATTGTTATAGAAATGATCTTTGCGTTTCTGACGGCGATGGAGAAATATTAACAATTGAGATTATTGATGAACGAACAAAAAACATTTCAATTAGTCGTTCTTATCGACCGCCAGATGGCGTGAGCAATAACTTAGCATGTTTTTACAGCAAAAAGTTATTGCGAAAGGTAACAACGAAAAAAAAAAACTTTCTAGTTGGTGATTTTAATATGAATTGTTTTGACTACAATGACGATAACAAAGTTAGAAACTTTTATAATGTAATTTTTGAATCTGGTGCAATTCCTTTAATAAATCGTCCAACAAGAATAACTAAAAATTCAGCAACTTTGCTGGATAATATTATTTCTACAGACTTGTTCAACAGTGATATAAAATTGGGCTTAAAAACAAATATTTCTGACCACTTTCCTATTTTTCTAACCATAACCGCCTAAACAAAAATTAAATAAAGTTATAAAAAAAGGTTTTTTAAAACGTTTAGCCTTTCAAAAATCAGCTCTCATTATTACATTGGAAACACTTAAATTTTAATGAAAATACAAACAACCTTTATGAAAAGTTCTTTAAAGCATTCACCTCTGTTTACGAATCTAATTTCCCAATTGTTACAATTACAATTAAAAACAAAACACTTAAATAATCCCTGGTAACCAAAGGATTCAAAAAATCATCCAAAACTAAACAAAAACTATGCATAAAATATCTGAAAACAAAAACACCAGCTAGCGAAAAAATTTATAAAGATTACAAAAATCTTTTTAAAAAAATCCGGAAAAATTAAAAAAATACTTACTATTAAAAATTAATTAATAAAGTTAAAATGACTCAAAAAGCACTGGGAAACAAAAAACATGCTCAAGTGCCTAAAAACATGCCGCAAACCAAAAAACATGCCGCAAATGCCTAAAGTCGATAACAATAGCTTGTATGAACAACAAATAATAGCTCATGAATTCAATAAATATTTTACTGAAATTGGATCAACTCTGACAAGTAAAATACCAAAAACCCAAAGTTCGTTTTATGATTTTTTGATACCTATTGATAAAGATATTAGCTCTGAAAAATTATCTGCCAAACTAATATTTGATGAGTTTGAAAAAGCTTTCAAAACTTTAAAAAAAAAATAAAGCACCTGGTGCAGATGAAACAAACGGAAATATTGATATAGATTGCTACGAGTAATTAAAAAATATTCTTTTTAAAATTTTCAGAGCATCTATCCATCAAGGTATTTTTCCTAAACGTTTAAAACTTTCCAGGGCCACCCCTATTTATAAAGAAGGCGACAGATCCAATATCAGCAATTATCGTGCCATTTCTGTTCTTTCAATATTTTTTAAAATTTCAGAAAAAATTATCTTCAACAGGGTATACAATCATTTTATTTATTTCAATTTACTTCATAAAAATCAGTATGG